ACCGATATGGACCGTGACGCATTAAAGCGTGCCTGCGCACGATTCAGACCGAGAATGGAGGCGATCATTCAAGCAAGCGGGGGATATATTGAGTGAATATATTATTTATGGCCTTACAAACAATGGAGTTAAACAAATTTTGTAAATCTTTTCATTGTAGCAATAAAACATATTTAGAAAAACATATATAATTTGTCCGGATTTTGGCGCCGCACCCTGTATGTATATTGCACGTTAATATTTTCAAAATCAAATATTGGTAAAGGTATTTTATTAATGTAATCTACACAATTCCATTATTAATAGTGTTTTTTTTTAAACAAATTTACTTTCAATTTGCGATCGATTAGTAATTTATTAGTTATATACTGTATTATACAATAGTGTTTGTTTGATCTATTTGAATATATTTTTTTATTCATAATAAAAGTTATAAATATTTTGCTTGGTTAAACGTGCTTCTTTATTTTTTAAAGTGTGGCAGACGTCGTGCATTAATTCTTTAGGCAACATTTTTCATAAGAACTATCACATCATGTGTTGACAGAAGATGTCCTATAATGCATAAAAATATTATTAAACAATAGCAAAAAATATTATGCTTATTTGAGTAAAAATGTTTACTTACAAAAAATTTATATATTTTATATTGTATACAATTATGATATTCCTCAAAAAAATGATGCATACAAAAATATTTCTTGCACCAGGAACAACATGTTATAGCAGGTGCTCCACATATAGAAGAGTGTGGTATTTCTTGTATATCTTTTCCGGAAAAACAAAAATTTACTGGGTTTTCGAACTGTGATGGTCGTTCTTTGATGTAGCCACTTTTAAACCAAGCATATTTGAAAAGATTATGGAATCGTGGAGAAGATAGTTGTATATGCGTTAAGGGTTGTAACTTGATAATATTATTTATCAAATGTAAATTGATATCATAATTTAACAATATAACGCGATCACTAAATGTCCGCACAAAATGTTTTCATAAATCCGTAAACATCAAGAGGTTGAATCATTCCTGTAGTTTTTTTGGTATTCTTAAAATTCGTACATCTTTATGTACATCTGTAGATGGCATAAACGAGTGGGAGTCTTTTGCCCACGTTGCGATTGCCCACAGTCACTATTGCCCACGTTGCAATTGCCCACGTTGCGATTGCCCACAGTCACTATTGCCCACGTTGCAATTGCCCACGTTGCGATTGCCCACGTTGC